GAGAACCACTGCTCTAGAGCAAATGAAAGAGCCTGGGGGTATAATGGGTTACAAGCTGGGCTGCCAACAACCGCAAGGACAGAAGTTCAAATTCACCAGACACTCTGGGGGGGAAATGAGGCTCTCTACTCCTGTAAAGAGAGACAGGCTGGGAAACCGAGGGGCAGTTCTACCCGGTCCTACAGGGCCGCTGAGAGTCGGCATCCACGCCCTGGCAGTGGCTTTGGCTGGTTTGGCTGTCGTCAGTGATCACCCCCAGCAACAAGGAACCTGGTTCGGTGAGACCAGCCTTGTCTGAACGAGCCCAGGTGCTACAAACACACGGGGCAACGGGGAGGTATTTTCAGTGTTACGCCTCCTCCTTGTAGGCCCCCCAGACCAGTGTTTCGATTTGGAGGGAAGGAGAAGGCAGGCTGCAGTCTGTACATCCGTAAGGAGGCAGATTGCCACGTCGGTTCTCCCTCTGGGGGCTGGTGGATTTGAACCATCAACGTTCAGTTGGCAGCGCTGAACCACTGTGCCACCGGGCACAGGAAGGTGAAGAACCACTGATCTCGAGGGATAAGTTAATGCATGTAGCTCTGAGAAGCTGGTATAGCCAGCCATATAGCTAGACTTACTGTCATTGGGGTGGGGGGCGGGGAGAAGGCGGGGTTGGTGCATGGGGTAGTGTAAAAATTTCTGTCTCTTGATTAATAAAACCACTCTTTTTTGGAGAGAGAGAACATTGATTAAGCCTGAAATTGGGCAGAAACGGAACTACTGAGGCCTGTCATCTGGATGAGGGGGTGCATCAGCCCAGGGTCAGAATGGTGCTCACGGGTTTGCTGCGACACAGAGCTTCAAAGCCGCGGAGGTCAAGGAAGAAGGTCGCATAAACGTGGTTAGCGATAGATCAATGTAGCACGGCTCCCAGTGGGACTCCCGAGAGGGGCGGGGGGGCCACCGCTGGGCCGCAAGCATTATGTCAGGCAGAAGCGCTGCTTACAGGGCTGCCCGGGCAGGCGGGCACGGCTCCTAACAATTCCATTCCCGGCTGTCCCCAACAGGGTGGCCTTCACCAAGGACACGCCCAGGTGAGCCGCTAAAGGGTATTTGACCGCCACCCCTACACACACACACACACACACACACACACACACGCTCGTGCCGGCTAGTCCAGGGGATGGGGGTCATCCACTTTCCAGTGAACTATTTCTGAGTGTCAGAATATCCTCCCCCCAGGTCAATGGTCAGAGGGGCTCGGCGGGGGCTTGATCCACACAAGGACTCTGCAGGTGGATGGGGGGCTTTCACCGTCATCCTCTTGGAGAAAAGAACTCTTCTTAAAAAAAAAAAAAAAGAATAAAATCGGATGGAACTATCGAACGGTGTGACGCACGGGTGACATGCCCATGGCATTGCCCTTGAAATGAACTGAAATGAAAAGACACACAGCCCGTGGCCCACTGGGGGCAGCCCTGCCCCACGCAGGAGGGGCACGGAGAGTCGGGACTGGACAGGATGGCAGTGGGCTGGGTTTAGACCCCAAAGCCTCCTGGACGAGAGCGAGGCGTGGGCAGCACCCTGGACAGCCCCCGTTGAGGCTCAGGAAGCAGCCGCGTCCAGCCATCGGATTCCAGGGTGCATCCAGCTCTTCCCTCTTCAGCCTTTTAAAGCACGCTCTGTGATTCACACAGTTACCCCGAAACGGTTCCTGGAAAAGTGTCCCATCGGCCGTTTAAGGCCTCACCCACCATTTAAGGGGGGGGTGTCTGCACCCCTCCTTGCTCACTCTCCCTGCCTCTGGCGCCAAGCACAGCCCTTGGTCCCTTGCCGGCGCTTTGCCATCCATCAATTGAGACGCTGCCACACTCCTGAGTGTGGGCTTCAGAGGGAAGCGTGGAGAGAAGTTATCATCCTAATACAGCGCTCTGACAGGCTGACAGAGAATTTGATCGCTGACGAGTGGGCCTGGAGACGCTCCGCAACATCGCATATTTAAGGAACTAAAGAGAAAAGGTGTTTGTTGATGAGGATAGCCAACGATCCTCTGGGCGGCAGCTGGGCTTGGCGAGGACAGGAAGGTGCCCTCTGGCACCCTGTGGGTGAGGTCTGGCTTCCACACGATCCTGGCTGTTCCAAAGAGGGCCGGAAACCCACAGCGAGGTCCACACTTGTTTCTGGGAGGGCCAAGAATCCGGGCTCCCCCACCCAGAGCCCACAGAGGTGCGGCCAAAGGTCAATGGGCTGCACCACCGGGAGGGGCAGGATATAAGGGCCGGTCAGCCTGGCCAGACACCAGACCCCGGCCGAGAGAGAGCAGAGAGAGAGAGTCCACCTGGCCCTTGCAGACCCCAGCACACGGTAAGGAGCCAGAAAAGAAAGCAGGGAAGGGCTCTTAACAGGAGCGAGCAGCAGAATAAGGGAGCAAGCGTGAGCACAGGAGTCCACAGGGGAGGTGACCTGCTCCCGCCCGGCTGCATATACCTGGCTGGGCTCAGACTGACAACCCCAAGGCAGTTCAAGCTGATGTCCTGGGGTGCGGCAACTGGTTTGTGCTTGACTACTAGCCTAAAGGCTGTGGTTTGAGCCCACTCAGGTCTGGCGATGGGCTTCAGGAGACATGGCAGCCAAGAAAAGCCTCTGGAGAGGTTCTACTCCAGCCCACGGGGCTGCCACGAGTCAGACCCAACTGGTGGGCAACGAGCGGCCACTGGCGGCAGCAAGTTAAAACCTAACTTGCTGTTGTGAAGTCTGTTCACGCTCACCCTCAGCCCCCATATGCTACAGGGCAGAACTTCTCCCCAGGGGCTGCCAATGGGGCACCTGGCTTGTCTTCCATGGTGGGCTCGAACCATCAACCTTTAAGGCGAAGAGTCAAGTGCAAACAGTGCATGCCCACACTGCCCTACGGGAGCACCCAACAGCACGCCCAGGGCATGGCGGCTGCAGAGAGGAGGCGGCGGCTGGCATTCCAGGCAAAGGAGGGTCCATTTGGCTGCCGCTGGGGCCAGCAGGCCAGGAGCCCAAGCCAGGGCTCTGGGCAGCAGGCAGGCCCTGCCCGCCAGGCACAGCCCCGTAGCTCGGCTCCAGAGTGTTCAGCAGAGAGAGCCGGTCCCTAGAGGCATGCCACCTGGGGAGGAAGGGCCGGTCCCTAGAGGCATGCCACCTGGGGAGGAAGGGCCGGTCCCTAGAGGCATGCCACCTGGGGAGGAAGGGCCGACTGAGCCCAGCACTTGTTGGGAGGGGCGGCTCCTGGCGGGGGACAGCTCCGCTCCCGCTCCGAGCTCACCAGACACAAATGAGTGTAGGTGACATACCGACTGCCAATCAGATCAAGAAAATGAGCAGCAATCGGATCTTGCCTTTTTTTTTTCTTTCAAGTTTTTTATTGATTCTTATGGCGTGAATTGAACGCGAACAGCGGAATGAAAGGGGATCTATAATATCGGTGTACGGGGACTGGGACGCTGTCAACATGACATATCACCTCCGCCCTCGGGGGGCTTGGGGCCAAGGGATCGGGGCCTCACCCACCTACCTCTCTTCAGCTTCCGGTCCTCTGGGGGTGGGGGACATGCTGGCCCTAGGCTTGCTGAGGTAGGCGACCCTCCCAGCCCTGCTTTGGCTGTCTAAGCTCCTTTATGCACGGAGCTGGGGAGGAGGGTGGAGAACAGCAGGGGGGAGGGTGAGCACCCTGCCTGGCAGAGGTGGCTTTGGACGACAGAGGAAGCAGGTGCAGCAGGGAGGCAGCACCCAAGCCCACGACCCTGGACGATTCTGTCCACAGGGAGAGTCAGGCTGGGCCTGCAGAGAGGCAGCCCAGAGCCAGACCCTCTCCCACCAGCGGCATGCAGGCGGCCAGAGGGAAGACCCAAGCTCACTCTGCTCCCTTCCCAGAAGGCCACCTGCCCAAATGTGGCACCCAGGATACACTCCGCAGGGCTGCCCTGCCCCGCTGCCCTCTACCTTCCTAGGAGGGGTCGTGGGCAGACCCAACAGGGAGCCGGGGACTGGGAGAACTCCGCAGGAGACTGGGCTTCCAGCTCCCAAAGCCGAGAGTGAGTCCCTTCCTTGCCCTCCCCACACCTCACCTGCCCCCAGGTAGGCCTAAGGATGGCAGGAGAGAGGGCCTTGAAACAGACCGCCCTGCACCATTGAAGAGATGGGCCTAAGCTGGTACCTAGTCAGGCTTCCTTCCCCTACAGGCCCATCCTGCCCCTGTCCCAAAGCCTGCCCACCCAGCCCCATCCCCAAGTCTCTGCCTCCCCTGCAGTCACCATGCTTTCTGGTCCCTGGCAGAGCCCAGGCCCCCCCGCAGCCCTGACAGCCTTTACAGAGACACCCCACTTCCCAGGATGCGGGCGAGCCTGGAGCACGTTGGCCCACTGCCAGCCCTGACGGCATCCCGAGGTGTCTCGGGCGGCGGGGAAGATGCACCATCCCTGCTATATCTGGACTGCGGCCAACAGGCAGCTCGACAGGCTGTTGGAGAGGGGCTTGTTCCAGAGCCAGCACACACACACACCCTCAGGGGTGGGACCCCACTGTCAGATCTCGGATGCTGCTCCAAGCTGAATTTTCCCATCTGGCGCTGCCTCCGCCTGGGGAGGGGTCTCAGCCTTTTCCTCTGTGGGCCCAGGGAGGGCTGGGGTGCCCTGGGCCTACTCCCTTTAACATCCTAACTGGAGGAGGGGAGTGGAGAAGGGGGTGACGCATGCTTCTGCTGATGATCGAGTTCCTTCTCTGAGCGATGAGGCCCCTCCACCCTCATGAGTCTAACTGACCCCAGGTAACGGACCTGCAGCAAAGCGGAGCACCCCCTCTCAGGCGTGTGCCCTGGGCTGGGGGCCTGGCCAGTGGTCTCTCCTCCCAGCTGGAAGCAGAGGGCGTGTGGACCTCACCTGGGAAACCCAGCAGGCCCAGCTCCAGGTCACACAGCGTCAGGCGGGATGGGGACGTGACTGCCCATGCCAGAGCCCATGCCCCCCCCCCCCTTGTCACTCGCCAGCTGCAGGATGGTGTCCACGAAGGCTGTGGCCGCCCTGCTGGCAGTGCATGCAGCCGCCCTGCTGGCCTCCCGGACGGAAGCCTATGTGCCCATCTTCACCTACAGCGAGCTCCAGAGGATGGAGGTGAGCCCTTCCGTGGGCTGGGGCGCTGCCTCTCTGGCCCTGCCCTGGCGCTGGTCTCTCTGGTGCACGAATTCTCTCCATAACGGGAGCGGCACCGAGGAGGGTCTAAGGCCCCAAACCCAACCTAACCCCAGCTCCAGCCCCGGCCCAGACTCCTCCACTCCTTCCCTCAGAACCAAAAGCTCCCTACCCCCGGGTCTGCTCCCACCCCTCACGACCCTGCAGGACAGGGTAGACCTGCCCCTGTGGGTTGTCGAGCCTGTGACTCTGTACGGGAGCCCACAGGGCGGCTGGTGGTTTCCGACAGCTGACCTTTCAGTCAGAAGCCCAACTCCTAGCCACGACGCCACCCCGCTCCTCCACGCCTTCCCTTGCCACCCCCAAAGGTGCCCGTGGCTTTCCTGCGCGTCAGTTTTCCCCCACCCCTGCCCAGCCTTTGCAGGAACTTTTCAATTAACAAGCACATCAATATTTACTGAGGCTCTCTGCTGTGGGAGGCGCCCCCCTGGGCGCTCGGCCAGGGCAGACAGGGACGTCTCAGACCCTCCCCTTGTCTCCGGTGAGCAAGCCAGGGAGCCAGGACAGCAACATATGAAAAATTAACTAACAATAGAAGACAAAAGAGAGATGCCATGAGGCGGAACATGATTAATTGCCCAATAAGCGATGCTGATCAGAAGTGCAGGGTTTGGATGAGGAAGAGAGCCGTGTGGGCGGGCGGGTGGGGGTTGGGGGCGGCGAAGGGGAAACTTTCAGAAGCTCGCTAGAAAAAGGGGAAACCTGAGTGGGGGGCCTTGAGCAGGAAGGGGGAGGCCGTGAGGGGAGGGGAAGAGTCCTGGGAGGGGGGAGAGAAGGTAGCTGTCCATTTTGCCTGACACAGCCACCCTCTCTCTTGAGCCCCAGAGGCCCGTGGGCGATGCTGTTGCTCTGAGCGGGCTGTAGACAGCTCACACGCCGAGCGGTGGGAGGAAGGCCTGGCAATCCGCTCCGTCAAAACCGTCGTCAAGAAAGCCCTGTGGGCTGTTGGATGGAACCCGGGCAGTGGGGACCGACCCAAACTGAACGGCTGGATCTACTGTCCAGGGGCCTTCCCCTTTGGGCTTGAAGGGATTCTGAGTGTGTGTGTGTGTGTGTGTGTGTGTGTGTGTGTGTGTGACACTAGGAGCCCAGATGAGATTCTGAGTGTGTGTGTATGTGTGTGACACTAGGAGCCCAGATGAGACTCTGAGTGTGTGTGTGTGTGTGTGTGTGTG